CCCCCCCAAGCCCGCGGGAGCCGCTGGCAAGGCTGATCGGGGCTTGGATCTCCAAGCCCTGTTCAGCCTTCTCCCCCCCTCCCAAGCCCGCGGGAGCCACTGGCAAAGCTGAACGGGGCTTGGATCTCTTAGATGACCTTGGGCAAGCCATAGTTCTGATAAGAGCTGTCCTTGAAAAAGAGCAGTTTCTGTCAGAGCTCTCTCAGCCCCACCTACCTCACAGGGTGTCTGTTGTGGGGAGGGGAAGGGAAAGGAGTTTGTAAGCTGCTCTGAGACTCCTTTGGGTAGTGAAGGGCGAGGTATAAATCCAATTTCCTCCTCCTCCTCCTCCTCCTCCTCCTCCTCTTCTTCTATTACCAGGTTCGACCTGGTAGTTGGCAGCCCTAGGCCTGGAAGCAGCCTCTGGGTGACTTGATATCACCCACTGGCATGACTGAACTAGGCCTGCCTGCTTTCTGCTGTTCAGCAGCAACCACCCTATGAAAGCCAGCGTGGTGTAGCAGTTAGAGCATCAGTGAGACCCAGGTTCAAATCCCCATCCTGCTGTGGAAGCTGACTGGGTGATTATGGACTTTCAGCTTAATCTACCTCACAGGGTTGTTGTGAGGTTAAGAAGGAGGTGTGGAGAATAATGCAAGCTGCTTTGGTCCCCACTGTGAAGAAAGGCAGCATATAAATGAAGTAAATAAAGAATAAATAGAGCTGTAGATGGGAGGCAGATAAAAGGTAGGTTGGTGAATAGCTGAGAGGCTGAGAATGGCTGAGAGAGAATGAGGCAGGGAGAGGATATGGGGATTGCCAAGAGGAGAGAATGAGGAAATAGTATGGGGAAGAGGGAAATGAGGTGCCACCCCACAAGTCCTTGAGGCTTCCCTCCCATGCAAGCAGGCTTGCCCAATGGCTGGCACCACACAACTGGTCCAGTTTTCCTAGGTAGAAGCTTCATGGAGGGAGGTGACAGAAAGCTGAAGACAGGGGCAGATAAAGGTGGGAAGTAGATAGGGTTGGGGGACTGTTGGGTAGGAAGGAGATAGGGTTGCCAGCTCAAGGTTGGGTAATTCCTGGAGATTTGAGGGGTGGAGCCTCAGGAAGGTAAGGTGTAATGCCATAGACTTCACCCTCCAATGCAGCCATTTTCTCCAGGGGAACTAGAGTTGCTAGCCTCTAGGTGGAGGCTGGAGTTCTCGTGGAATTACAACTGCTGTCCAGATGATAGAGATCAGCTCCCCTGGAAAACATGGCTGCTTTGGAGGGTGAACTCTATGGCATTATACCCAACTGAGATTGCTTCCCTCACCAAAACTCGCCTTCCCAAGGCTCCATCCCAGATCTCCAGGAATTGCCGAACCTGGAGCTGGCAACCCTATAGGGGACTGATCTCTATAGTAGGGAGATCTGTTGTCATTCCAAGAAATCTCCAGCCCTCACCCAGAGGTTGGCAACCCTAGAAGCAGAAAAAAGGGGAGAAGCTGTGAGGGCTTTCAGGAAAAGGAAAAGAAATAGTGGGAGAGTGAAGTGCCTCCTGCAAGTCCTTGCGGGTTCCCACTAGTTGATTTTAAAAATCACATATTTGTGAAAATCTGATAAAACTTTATGTCTTGGATCTTATCCTGTTTTTGTACTTGCAGGAGGTTCTTCCTCTCATCAAAGAGGGGGAGGGAGATTTTCAGTAACTATGTCTCCCCACATTGCAGGCCTCCAGTTTGCCCTCTGCCCAGTTCGGTGTACACAGTTTTGGGAGACAAAACAAAGGGTGGGGGAGCAGAAAAGTTCCCTTTCATCTAGTGTGACTCTTCTCATGCTAGATAAGATATGAACAATTCTTGCTAAGCACCATTTTTGTCATTGTATGCCTCATTCAATTCTGTATCATTTGACAAAGCAGAATATTATGTAGATTGGCACAGCAGTCAAAGGAATTCACTTTCAAATAAACATAAGGTTGGCATTGTAAGCTACTAATTTTTAGCCTTCCATTGCTCATAGTTATTTCTAATGACTAACACAGAGCTTTTGTTTATGCCACAAAATATAAGAGTCCTGCAGGTTCAAACCAATGTCTGTGTAGTCCACTATTGTGTTTCCACCAATGACCAGCACAATACTTTGAGGAAGCCCACAAACAAGGCATGAAGGCAAGAACCCTGTCCTGTTGGGTTGATGCCTAAGATGCTGTTCTGTCTTGTGGCTGCTGGTACTAGCCCAATGAATCATCCCTCAAAGCCTAAAACAGCCCTGGAAAGAGCCTTGTTCTCTCCCCCTGCCTTTTACTGTCAGAAACCAAAGCTTGAATTCCAGCAATAGTGGTTGCCTAGCAACAGCCACGGGGGCATTTGTTTCTTAGAGCTACAGGTGCTCCTTCTATCATTGGAGAGGTTAACTCCCCAATTTTTATTTATAGATTTCAGATTTTTCTGCAATCCTGGCACTTTTCTCAGGTTTATAGAAAGATCCACTTTGTCTGTCCACAGCCTCAGTCTCTGGATTTAAGTATCCACAGGTGGGCCACTCAGCTTAAATTAATTAAAGAACACCAGCCTTACAACAGATCTTAGGGAATTCTGCTGCATCTACCCCTCCATTATATGGGAGATCAGACTTCTTTGTGCATTGCCAAAGTTATCAAAGTCAAAATCTTAACTTTTTATGCAATGTGCTGCAGAATTATTTTGACCAAAATAGTGGTGGTCTTCTTGTGGCTTTATTTTGTATTTTCTCCCTGCATTAATTAACTTCATAAATTGCATATGCCCATAACATGTAATAGACAGCTTCTGTTCATTTATTTTAAGCTGGAAAATATCCATTTTCTGCAGAAGGTATTGATTTATTTGCCAAAACAAGTCAGTCCATTGTAACAACCATATTGCATGATCCTTTTTGTTTTCTTTGAATGCCATCAGAAGGGCCAGCAATTGCCGGAAGAGGCAGCAAACAAATGGCGACAAAGAGTTAAGAAAGTCATGGCTGGGGTGAAATTGGTACATTTCATTCAAATATGCAGAAACTACGAGTGACTATAGAAACCAACATTGATTTCTTTTCTAAACTTTGTGTCTTGATTGTCTAATATTCACATATACTTCTTTTCCCCTCCCTCCCCCCCACCCAGCCCCTTTTGTTAGCACCCTTACTGAGACTGTTTGGAATGGCACTGCATGGTTATTGACTGGTGTGGCACTTTTGCAATGGTGCACGTGCCATGTGCTTGAAAGAATTGCCTGCTGTTGTTTTTTTCAGACAACATGCATGTGATGTGCATGTACCATTGAGTGTCTGATGTTCTTATATTGGGCTCCTGTAATTATATAGGACACTATCATGTCTTGTTTTTTATCTCAGTGACAGTATATAGAAATAAAATTGCCATTGCTCAATGAATTAAGAAACTAAGCAACATGGACAACTCAAATTATTCAAATAATTCAGGAAGTTGGATTCAGCAGATCCCTTCCTCTAACAGCACTGCTTTCCTCTGGTGCACCGTGCAATGACCTTTCTGCCAATGCAAGAGCCTGTTGCACCTAACTGAAGCTCTTTGCACAGGAGGAAAGCACTGCTGTTAATAGACCATATCTGCAAGATCCAATTCTGTGTCTCAACCCAGAGATGTAGTCAGTCTCTTTAAGAGTTCCCAGGAAATCAGGAGAGGATGCAAATGTTGCATTTCCTGTTCTGTTTATCCACCATTCCTTTTGTCACCCTTCTTCTTGGCCTGCTGTAGGGGAACACTGGAGACCTGCCTACTACAGCAGATAAGGCAAGAAGATAGAAGGGAACCAGAATGGGAGGCAAGCAGTTGCATTCTGTCTTTTTGCTTAAGCAGTGAAGCATTGAAAGAAGCAAACAGCATCTCTTGGCAACTGCAGGAAATATAGGCAGATCTGGAAAGAGATATGGAGGCACTGCGCTAAAGTGTGTTTGAGATTCCTCATCACTTGTCCATGTTTTCTTCCTTGCTGGCATTAACAAATGCAGAGCCATATGCAAGTCCTCATACTAGCCAGACTACCAGTTTTGTGACTTTTACTACGTCCAGGAAAGCAATTGCTGTCCCCTTGTCTTGGAAAGAAGGAGAGAGAGCAATGCAAGGGGCACAGTTGGCACACTAGGATTTTGAAACAATTTATTTACTCTCAATGACATTCATCCATTCTTGTGAGTGGCCACAAAGCATGTACAAACCAATATATTCAGATGTGCACTGGTAACCTTGAATAATTGAGCTCGGTGGCCAAATTATGTTACTTCAAACATTTGGCTGCTGCTCATCCACAGATCTTCCCAGCATACTATTTGCTTAAAGCAGATGAATGATGTCATTGGGTTCAGAGTTTCCTGTCTCTAGGAAAAGGCAGCCAGTGAAGTGGAGCAGGGGTGAGGAAATGTGACATCATGGGTCACAGTGATATGATGGATCTGTTCTAACTACTGGGAGACATGGGTCAGTAGCAAGCTGACAGCCATGCAATTATAACATGCAGTTGCAGTTGGCCTTTAGGTATAGAATGCTTTACAGTAAGTGTGATCTTTCTAGAATGAGACTAGCAGGAACTATCCTAACAGTATTTCATTACAAATACCTAATACAAGTCTGGGGAACAAATGTAAATAGTTCCAAGGGAAAAGAACTGTAACATTTTTATATGTTTACAGTCCCTCTGGATACCTGTCTTTTAAAAAAACTGCTTGGCTAAGATGAATACTCAAATTATTTCCACTTGGAAACAAATATAGAGAGCTATTACCCTCTTTATAAAGTTGTAGGTCCACTGAAGTCACTGAATTGACCTCACCCTGTCCCAATTACCTTTTTTTAAAAAATGTTACTTCTATTACTTTGTCTCTGCACTTCAATAAAGTTATGTGTTTGATTGCTTTCCCACACATCAGAGCTTGAATGCCAAGCACAATTGTTCAGCTGCAGTGTATGGCTGTATTAAATAACAGGTGGTTGTGTTTTCTTCCATGTTTTAGACTGAAAAAGAAAAACTGACATGGAAAGATCGTTTTCCAGCATACTTTACAAATTTTGTGAGCATTATTTTCATGGTAAGTATAACTTTGTAAATATTTCTAATTCTTTGCAATGCCAGGTTTCTGAAAGGGTAAAGAAAGCTTCCCTAAGATGTTAGAGAAGGAGCCTGAGCTTTTAAAGTCTGGCTTTTGTGTATACTTTAGTTGGCCCAGGAATTAGAACTTTTTTCCAGTTAATGCATTGAAAGCAACCTGATTCTTATTGATTGATTATTTTATATGACTCCACCTTTTGGCTCTCTTGGCCTCCACAGTGCTGGGGGGGGGCAACAGTGGGAGGGCTTCTAGTGTCCTGGCCCCACTGCTGGACCTCCTGATGGCACCTGGTATTTTTGGCCACTGTGTGACAGAGTGTTGGACTGGATGGGCCATTGACCTGATCCAACATTGGCTTATCTTATGTTCTTATGTTCAATGTATAAAAAAATCCAATAGCAACCAATAAAAATCAATTACAACAGCACAGTTGGAAATATTATGTAAAACCAGGGCTTTTTTTGTAGAAAAAGCCCAGCAGGAACTCATTAGCATAATAGACCACACCCAACAGCAGAAACTCATTCGCCTATTAGGCCACAGCCCTGACAGCACAGCTCATGGCATATTAGGCCACACCCCCATGTTACGAGAAGTGTGCTCATCCAGCCACACCCACCTTTTGCTTCTTATTCTGTTTACCTTGTTTGTTGTCAAAACCCAGGGCTTTTTTATAGCAGGAACTCCTTTGCATGTTAGGCCACACACCCCTAATGTAGCCAATCCGAATGAGTTTCTGCTGTTGGGTGTGGCCTATTATGCTAATGAGTTCTTGCTGGGCGTGGCCAACTTGGGAGCCAGCCGGAACTCTGTTCCTGTGATTCCTGCCCAAAAATAGCCCTGTGTAAAACAAACCACAGCAAGCACAAAATGCTGCCAGCACAGCTCTTCTCTTAATTGGGCAGATCGTAACAGCCACATAAGAACCTCCCACACAGAGCAAAACGTATTATATGAAGCAGGTCATATGCAAGGACTGAAATATTCACTAGCACAGTTTCATGATCTGGACTTCCTTATAATGCAGATGTAACTACCTTTAAAAATAGTGATATCTAGAGGTTTTTACAGCATATAATATACTGTTTTTAATTTCCAGATTGGGTTGACATTCGCAATTGTTTTTGGGGTCATCATATACCGAATCTCCACTGCAGCAGCTTTAGCCATCAGTTCATCTCCAGCTGGCCGGTCTAATATTAGAGTAACTGTGACTGCAACTGCAGTGATTATTAATCTAGTCGTGATAATAATCTTGGATGAAGTATATGGCTGCATAGCCAGATGGCTGACCCAGATTGGTAGGTATAAACTGTGATTTAAAACTGTAGTTTCAATAAATGACCTATCCAAAGAGTTTCATGCCAAACAAAACTACACAGGCGAAAACCTCTGGGCAATACTTGGCATTATCTCTTGAACACATTTCAACCACTATGAGCCAAAGTACATGTCACATGGAGTATTTGTGATCGGATCTTCCAATGTGTACATCAACATTCACCCATCTTGTATCTTTCTGTTTTCCATGCACATGCACAGACATCCAGCATGGCATCTCCAGTCCAGGAGGCCCCCAAAGTTGCTTTTTAATAATGAAGCTCATGTCAGAAGATCCAGTTATGAGTGAATCCCCAGTATAATGTGTAGTTTAGTCCCAACACTGGTTATAAATAGGGAAACTGGAGATAAATCAGTTCCCTCCTCACTTATTTTGGAGTACAAAACATTTTTAAAAGTTCATCTCCAGCTGTGGAGATGCTTCCCTCAATTGATTTACAGCCCAAGTCCTAAAGATCAGCTTCAGCTAACATAGCATAAATTTTTATTTCTAGTCATTTTGTTTACTTTTTGGGGGAGGAATGAGAACAGATGTATACAGCTCTTACTGAAACTTCAATATCACCCAGAGCAAAAGAATTTTGTCCAAAATCCTTTGTTTGTGGTCTGTTTGTGCATGTTGCATACCCATTGCAGTGCATGTCAGATTAATGTTCAGATGCATGTTGCATACCCATTGCAGTGCATGCTGCCATAGCTGCGTCATTGTAGGTTTTCTTTGGGAATTGGAGTTTTTCTGTCCACACCTACCCTATCAAAAGGAGTGCATTCAAAAGATCAGTTCTTGTAATCTAGAATGTATTCTGTACAGCACCTAAAAAGCAAGAGTCATGGCAACTCTGCAGAGAAAGAAATATGTTTATTGAAACAGACATAGATTACTCAAGCAAGCATGTTGAGATCAGTAATAGGTCCACCCTGCTGTTGAGATTCTTCTCTCATTCGATTTACAGCCCATTCATAAAGATAACCTTCAGCTAACACAATATAAACTACCATAACACTGCAAAGTAGCGTCCAGATTTTGCAGTGAAAAATGACATTCTATCCAAGGCATGCAGAGCAGAGTAAGCCAACTTTGCACTCTGTGAGAGAAATTTCTGCCTAGTACCTCCTTGTTAGAAATTACTTTGGTATATATGATGACAAGACTATCTAGATCCAAATTGCTCATGCAGTGTGTCCCATATAATGTCCCTGAAAAATGGCAATGACGGGAGACAGCAGTGGATGCAGTAGAACTGATAGGTGTTGTTGTTCTAGCACTGAGACTAGCATCAATACACTTTGGAGTCAGCATTAGAGAGCAGCATCATTAGGCAGTTGCTGTGGGCTTGGAAGAGTTCAACACTGGCTTGCTGCTATGCACCAGTAGTTCTTGCAGTGTTACTGTTTTGCTGGAAGGCAGCAGCATTAGCATTTGTGATACCGGACCTTCTGAACGGACTGGTACTTCCTTTTCTTGTTCCTCTTCTTCTCCCAAGAGAGCATGGCCAGCCAACCTGGTGACCATGCACATGAATCGTGGCAAGAAGCAACTGGTGCACCGCTGCACATATTCTCTGGGTTCTGGCAAAATAGAAACCAGCAGCCAGTGCTGTTCAGATTGGCACCCATGTATGCAAACAGTGGTGGTAGCTAGAAGTTGTGTCCACCATTCAGAATGATGGGGTGGGTGACCGAATAGCCGCTGCTGTTAGCCCAGGGATGGGGCATGGGCCCACAAGGTGGTAAGGCAGCTTCCCATGGGGCTTTCCAAATCCAGGAGCTGTATAGATTTTGAGGGCAGCAGAGGGCAGCTTCCCATGGGACTTTCCAAATCCAGGAGCTGTATAGATTTATAAGCCCTTAATTTTTCTAACCAGCTTCATCTTATTTAAAACTCTTGTAGTTTTATGACTAAATACACATGAACCACTCCCATAGAGATTACCATAGAAGTTGGTATGCAGATGACACATGAGGGCTGGTTCACGATTGTTGGCTGAGGTGCTGTTAATTGATTTAAATGGAATCAATATACATTTTAAACAGAATGAATATAAGGAAATGAAAAGGGATTAACCAAGAAACAAGTGTGTATATATTGTATATTGTGATTTTTCAGTTTCCTGTCTTTAGTTGTTTTGTATTTGTTTCCTTTTTCATCTTGTAAATACATATTCTTTTCTTTAAAAGCAACATCTAAACACTTCTTAGGAGAAGTCTTCCAAAGCTGATATAACAAAGGCTGTAAAATGTAGCATTAGAATGTATTCCTTTCAAGCGTCACTTACATTGCTCTCATTTATACCAGAGGTTCCAAAAACTGACAAGAGTTTTGAAGAACGTTTGATTTTCAAGGCCTTCCTTCTGAAATTTGTTAATGCCTACACTCCCATTTTCTATGTTGCTTTCTTCAAGGGGAGGTAAGTTTTACACCCTAATTAAATCCATGCTTACTCTTACTCCTTGTTTATGCAAAGTAATTATTGAAGGACAACTGCTACTTAGGCCATAGTGTTAGCAGACGATGCAAAAAATATTGTATTAGCTATGCTTGAGCTAGGAGTACCTTTCCTGCACAGTGTAAAAAAACTGCCATATAATAGTGTACTATATGCCTGTCTGTGTGTGCCTTGCAAAAGGGAGGCACCTAGGTACAGAAACAAAGCACTCTTTCATGGATTATCTCAGTGTATGTTTGTGCTGATTGCAACATCCATCACATTACTATGAGTACTCGCTTCCTTATTTTCAGTCCATTAGTATTTTTCCATAAGACTTTTCACAAGTTGAAAAATCTGGAAGTGCTGTGGCTGCATATACAGTACCTCTTTGGACATCTATTTATGGATTATATTTAGGGTTGACAAGTCCCCTCTGATCACCATTGGGGATTGGGGTAGAGTTGTCGGATCCAGGTTGGGAAACTACTGGAGATTTGGGGATGGAGCCTGGGGAGGACAGCAACCTTACTGGGGTACAATGCCATAGAGTAGGGACCCCAGTCGGGTACAATTCCATAGAGTTCACCCCCCGATGCATCCATTTTCTCCAGGGGGTTTACAGGTCTGGAGATGACCTGTAAATAATTCCAGGGGACCACAGGTCCTACCTGGAGGCTGGCATCCCCTAATTATATTACCACCAACTGATTTATATTCTTGGAAGCAATCACTTAGGAATGTTTGGAAAGACGATCTATAGGCTGTCCTTGAAAGTGCCAAGAGTGTAATATTTGCTCCTGTTAGTTGCCACATAATGGCTGAACAGCAGAACTTTTTGTTGAGCAGACAAACTAGGCAAACTCCAGATAGGGTTGCCAAGTCGAAAATCGTTGGGAGCGGGGGACTCCCGTCCAGCGTCCTATGCGTGCGCACGCGCCACACGTACGTCACCAGGAAGTGACGTTATGACGCCAGGCACGCTGGGGCGGGGCCATGACCATCCAAGGGGGAAACATAGAGTTTCCCCCTCGGATGGTCGTGGCCACACCTCCAGCGTGCCCAGGGTCATAACGTCACTTCCTGGTGTCGTGCACGCCAGGGTGGGGTTCCCCCCAAGGCCCGATCCAGTGGCGGTGGGTAACGGGCCTCTCAGGCGGTGGTTTCCCCGCCCCCCGGGGGGACTTGGCAGCCCTAGCTCCAGAGGAGGGTGTCATTAGTTGAGGCCTGATTCCAAAATGGGTGCCTAGCTGAGGCTTTGAGTGTCACAGTTCAAATAAAGCAAATTTATACCCTTGACCTGTTGAGGTGGATTCCAAACCTTACAGTGTGAGGAGCTTTGGATATCTCATTCCTTAGTATCTCATTCTCCTTCACTGCATGCATGCTTTCTTAAAATCCAAGAGCCCTGGATGGCACCACCAACACAGCTCCTTTCAGAATCTCTGAGTTATGCACACAAAGTTCATTGTATCCATAATATTTAATGTTCCTATAGCCCACTCAAATTGGAGTTACTTCTTTAAATAATATAACTGATAATGGATATTTTTTTTAAAAAAATCCAGCTCTGCTTTCTGTTCTTTCTGCTGTATTGGAAAATTATTAATTGACTGGAAAAATAGGCATCCATGTAGATTTAGAATAATGGGAAATGTTGCCTGAGCACTATGAAAGCCTGCCCTACCTTTCATCTACAGAAAGGCAAGATGTGACTCTAATTGTTGTTTTCAAATTATCCTAGATTTGTTGGACGCCCAGGGGACTACGTCTACATTTTTCATTCTTTCAGAATGGAAGAGGTAATCATGCAGGGGCAGGGGGGAGTTGCATGTCTGTTCCTCATTAAGAAAACAACTGTGAAAATTCAAGAAAGTTACCTGGAAGAATTGCTGGTCTGATGTCTACTTTTTCTTCCTTTTAGTGTGCTCCTGGTGGTTGCTTAATGGAATTGTGCATACAACTCAGCATTATTATGCTGGGCAAACAGCTGATTCAGAATAATTTGTTTGAGATTGGCATCCCGTAAGTAACCAAGGAATCAGAATAAATCAATAATATCTGCAAAATATACAACGTATTTTACAAAACTGTACAAAATGTACAATGGTAAAAATGTAATTTACTTTTGTTATATACAAATAAAGATCTGAATAACCCTATGTTATATATACTCTAAAATTGCATGCCTTTTCTCTGATAGATATGTAAAATATTTATTCATTGTGAACACCAAAGAAAAATCATATATAAAAAGAGAGATCTGGCAGGTATTTAAGCCAGGTTCTACAGATCTGCTACATTCACAAGTCCCACAAGTTTTTGAAGTTTCCTCTTCTAATCTTCACTATACCTCCCAAACAATCTCTGAAGAAACTTCAGGTGAAGCCCACCGAAAGACATAATACAGAGAAACTGGTGGGCATATGGGAGAGTTTTTGAAGTCTTCTTTAGTTCTCATCTCAACCCACTATTCCAATATAACAAGCTTTGCTGAGTTCTTGCATACATAGTCCAATGTGTTTTTGTCTTTACTGTGTTATCGCTTACAAATCTTTGTATAACATAATGTAAGTAGATCTTTTCAAGCCATCAAATGTTGTTATGGAATCAGTGAAAGAGCTAACATTTTTGTTTTTTCTCAGAAAAATGAAAAAATTGATGAGATACTTGAAACTGAAACGACGACGGCCTGTAGACCATGAGGAACATTTGAAAAAGAAACAACGCTATGAAGTAGACTATAACCTGGAGCCTTTTGCAGGCCTGACTCCAGAATATATGGAAATGAGTGAGTGAGATTTCAAATGCTTAATTAAGACTTCAAGTATCAATTGGCTTAATCGCTGATAAATTGGTGGAGGCCCAGTTCTAATTGGTGATGGAAATATGGACCAATGGAGCTAAGAGCTGAGGCCATACTTTTTTATTTCTCATGTTGCTTTGGTTATGATGCATGCCTTCTAAAACTAGGGGGGTGATAAGTATAGGTTACCTCAGACTTCCTCCTTCTAATCTCAGAAAGGCACCTTTATTGAAGTTGGACTAATATGAAAAATTATTTAAATTAATTTTATTAATAAGCAGATAGAATTAAAGGCAGATGGTAATTAATCTGATTAATGAATTGTTTAAAAGATAAACTATTAATCAACTACAGTTCTTTAATCTGTTAGCTGCTCTTGTTCATATTATAAAAGTGTATTCAAAAGGAAAGTGTCCTGTTTCCCCTTGACTGGTAGATATGGTTTATCTTAAACTATGTGTTGTTTTCTCCTGGATATCACATTTCATTGGACAGCTGGGTAAACTGTGGAATAAACAGCAGCTTTGCATATGCCTCATACTGACTTGCCTAACAAAGATGGTTGACCTACAGAACAATCCTCTTGTGTGTATGTTCCTTATCATAGCAGAAAATGATGGTGCGGTGAACTTCAAAACAGTACTGAGCTGCCAAAAGTAGGGTTGCCCAAGAAATGCATATACCCCACCTTCCAATACAGCTGTCATGGCCATGGGGCTTTTCTGCATGCAGTAATCCATATGGAATGGATGAACATCGGATTGGCCTATGCTGGATCAGAAGAAGGATCTATCTAGTCCAGCACCCTGTATCTAGTGGTAACCAGACGGTTCTGGAAGGCATCCAAGCAAGCCATGATGGAAATATTATTTGGACAGAGGGAGATGCAAAGTTTAACCCCTGATTCAGGAAATCTCTTATTCAGGAAATCTCTTATTTGGACAGAGGGAGATGCAAAGTTTAACCCCTGATTCAGGAAATCTCCCCTTCTGTACCGATTAGCTTGGGACATTTTGCAATTCCAGAGTGCATTTGCCAAGACAATAGCTTTGAAGTTCTTTATCTGTGCAAGTTCATTGTTATTATTATTTATATCACATCATCATCATGTCAAGAAGATAGGTCCATGCCTTGAGGAGCTTACAGACAAAGAAGATAACAAAAGAGTGGATAGAAGATTTGATATTAATCATTTGACACTGAAAGGAAATACTTTTTGCCTACCTCAGAGTTCCTATTATATGAGGTCCTGGCAGAGCATAACTAATAAACTAAGTTTTGGAAGATATTCAGCACTTTGGGGGGAGTATTTTTTTGTACGGGTCCCATACAGAAATATATTTTAAAAGTGTAATGTACAACATTGGTTTTTATTTTCAGTCATCCAGTTTGGATTTGTAACCCTGTTTGTTGCATCCTTCCCACTGGCACCCTTGTTTGCACTGCTGAACAACATCATTGAAATACGTCTCGATGCAAAGAAGTTTGTTACCGAGCTTAGGAGGCCAGTTGCAGTTAGAGCCAAAGATATAGGTAAGTACTAATAGCACCCTAAATGATAAACATCATTACTTGCAGAAGGATGTCCTCAGTGAGAGGAAAAATATGTTATACTACATAGGGGGAAAGTAGGATATAATGTAGCTGCTGTGATTTTTTTAAAAAAAAACTTACCTCGATTTATTTTGAACTTATTCAAAACAGTGCTATAACCTGGGAATGTTAAAAAACATAGCTGATTTAGAATATCAAACACTTAATAAAATGGTAAACTACAGTGCAGATGTCTTTGTATTGTTCATCAGAGTTATGTCCTTAGTAAGTTCTTCCTTGTACTGCAAGTCACTTAATGTTCTGTATTAACTGGTTTCTTCAATATGTACAGGAGGTTGGGCAGTGGCATCTTTAAATCCAAACTATGCAGAAACTTATGAATGGCTTAATGAATGCATGTGGCAAGCCATTCATGTGTGGCTGCTAGCACTGTGGGTCCTCCATTCTTCATCATGTCACCATGGACAGGGAAAGGAAGTCTAGGTGGCATGTTAGAATCAGCTAGGCTTTTTGGTATGCACCTAAACTTAAAGAATGGAGCTGCGGTGGCTCAAGTGTATCAAATACCTAATTAAAATGGTAAACTACAGTGCAGATGTCTTTGTATTGTTCATCAGAGTTATGTCCTTAGTAAGTTCTTCCTTGTACTGCAAGTCACTTAATGTTCTGTATTAACTGGTTTCTTCAATATGTACAGGAGGTTGGGCAGTGGCATCTTTAAATCCAAACTATGCAGAAACTTATGAATGGCTTAATGAATGCATGTGGCAAGCCATTCATGTGTGGCTGCTAGCACTGTGGGTCCTCCATTCTGCATCATCTCACCGTAGTCAGGGAAAGGAAGTCTAGGTGGCATGTTAGAATCAGCTAGGCTTTTTGGTAGGCACCTAAACTTAAAGAGCTTGCCACATAGAGCAGCCTCTGCACAGCTTGTATTTAAAGGAAGGAGAGGAGATTGGGTCAGAAAAAGATCGAAGAGAGAAGATACCAAAACCTGTGCTGCAAGAGCTGAACACAATAGAAAAGCCACTAAAGGATCCATAGCTAGACTGACTGTTAATCTAACGGATTGATTGTGGGGCCATGCACCAGCGGTAGGGACGATGCACCAGCTTGACTGTTCAACTCATTCAGATGTGGGAAACTGTTCCAATGTCTCCTCAACTATGAAACGCAGAGTGTGTCCTTTCATAAGCCTCTGTCTCTAAGGCTTCATCCAAGCAACGTAAACATGTACCCCTGTTCATGACAACTAACAAACCAAGCTCTTATGTGTTGAAATAGCACCTGAAAACATAGATAAGAGAGGTTCTGAGCCTTGTTTTGAATACTGATACTCATTCCAATATCTGGGTAATTCTGAGATGAGAATGGGCATACACATTTTCATAAAAATATTGGGGTCTGGTCTGCATAAGCAGTAACATGCAATCTAGTTATAGTTATCAATAGTTATTGTACAATTCAAAAAAATCTTTAATTTCTTGTCTTCTCCTAGGAATATGGTATAATATCCTCAGAGGTGTAGGAAAACTTGCGGTGATAATAAATGTAAGTAATTCTTGCAAATGAAATTGATCACGTTGTTTCACATTTTCTGTTTTGAATATTTCATTGAAGACAGCTTTTATAGTGAAAATAAGTTGTATGTGGATATTCTCTGTGAGGGCTTTGGGAAGTCACTAGCTCTCAGGCCTACTCTCTTCACAGGGTAGTTGGGAAGCTAAAACCCACTCTGAGCAAGCTGGAAGAAAGGCAGGACAAAAAAATGAATAAACAACCCAGTCTTAAAGGCAAAATATAAATGGCATTTGTTGCAATTTTTAAAAAGTCAAGATACTCATAAATGTTTATATGTCAGTAATGATTTTCTTATTCAGGTGTTAGAGAACAGACATGTAGACAGATACAAGGGAACCCCACGTTTTTCATGAAGCAAATCTTCTTTGGAAAAAATAGGCAGCTGCTACAGGAGGTGTCAGCAGCTGCCCAACGCTCAATCCAGTCTTTGTGCTTCTTCATTGCAGAGTGCTATCTGTCATCCTTCCAAACAGTATAATTCAGGGCAAATGTTTCCTTTCTCTTTCCCCCCCCTCCATTTTTGTCCCTTATGTTGTGTTTCCTTTTCTCCAGTATTGCTCCCAGTAGTCCCTTTAACTATGACAAATGCTGGTTTTGTTACTTTAAGTCACCCTATCTTCTTTTTGCTTTCATGGGAAAAAACCTGCAGAGTTCAAGGTAGAATGCACAACCCTTAAAAACTTTGAAAACTGACCCATGACTGCCAGCTGCAACAGAGGGACCAACCCCAGTCTCAGCCCTACTGCACACAAGCACCATAGTTGTAGCAGGAATTTTCCTACTAGTCCGACTGGATCCACTTCTGCAACCTAACCAAAATGCCCTCATAACTTGTCTTTGCCTCAGCGCTATAACCACAACTTTTGCAGCCCTATGTGCAATCACCCAAAAGGACATTAAAAAAATTATTGCCCTCTCTACATCAAGTCAGCTAGGCCTAATAATACGTAACCATCGGCATAAACCAACCATAAGTAGCATTCCTACACATCACCACCACTGTTACCTCTAAACTGAGTTAGTGTGAGTTAGCTCACAGTTTTTTTAGCCTCCAGCTCACACATTTTTGTCTCAGCTCAGGAAGGATAGCTCCAGAGCAAACTAATTTATGCAGTAGCCAAATCACCTGCTCACAACTTTAATATAGGGTTGCCAGGTCCGATTTTGTCCCCAGCGGTGGACTTTGTGGGGCGTTCCCAGAGGGGGTGGGGTGTCCCCAATGTGATGATGTCACATTGGGGGTGTCCTGCTCCAAGCCCCACCCCTAAGAAAAATTGCTGGCAGCCACCCCCTCCCTAACCTCCTACAAGATTTAAAGGGACCCGTCTATCAGGTGGAGGGCCCTTTAAATCTTGCAAGAGGGGAGGGAGGGGGTGGCCACCAACTTCCATCAGGGCCCTGCAGGACTTAATGAAATAAAGGGTCCCTTGAAGTGGTTGCAGCTGGCAGGGACTGGCTGGCAGGGGAAGCCCTGCCCCCAAGCCTGAACACCCACAGCCACCCCTCTCCCTCCCCTCTGCAAAATTCCCCTCTGCACCCAGCACATGTACCCTTTAAATCTATCAAGAGAGAAGGAAGGGGTGGCTACGGTGTTTGCCCTTGGGAGCGGGGCTTGAGAGTAGGGCTTCCCCCACCAGCCAGTCCCTGCCTGCTGGAAGCATTTAAAGGAACCCTTTAAGTGCTTCCAGCTGGCGGGGGTCCGCAGCTGATCTCCAAGCATTGCCGCTTGGAGACCGGGTGCATGGGGCCAGTCCCCACCAGCTGGAAGCACTTAAAGGGATCCTTTAAGCACTTCCAGCCGGTGGGGCCCCGCACTTCATCCCCCAGCCAGCTTGCCACAGCATGACCACATCTCCCCAACTGGGTGTGCCTGCTCTGATCCCCGATCCAGGCAGGAGGCATCAAGCTAGCCTCAGCTAGAGACCTCCCCAAGTGAGCACCAGCCCAGTCAGGGCTGCTTGCCTACTTATGAAGAGAACTGCTTTTTGTGAGAGACTTGGGTGCGGCATATTGGCTCACATTGCTCACCCCTCCCATCTCTGATAACAGCTGGAAATACCTGAGCCTTGAATGGAGGCATGAGCTGTGGCCCTTTATTTATTTTTGTTTGTTTATTTATTTACTCTTTAGATTTTTATCCCGCCCTCCCCAAAGGCTCAGGGCGGCTAACAAGGGCATAAATGCCAGATTAAAACAATAAGGACAGTATAAAAATACAATAACACAACATAATACAGTTATTAAAAATATTGGTGCTCCAATACTCACTCCGAATCATAAAACCAAGATGGTGTTCTGAAGATGTTATAACAGAACAACAGCAGTATATGTCCCCACAACCCTGTCATCCGCCAGGGACGTCTTGCACCACCGATGATACCCGCACCAGCGGTGGTAGACTGCGGTGATGGGGAACGTGTTGGTGGAATAATGGTGGCAGTGGCTCCTACTCGAAAGCCTGGTGGAAGAGCTCCATTTTGCAGGCCCTGTGGACCTGCACAAGGTCCCGCAGGGCCCAGATCTCTTCTTGGAGCTCATTCCACCAGGTAGGAGCCGCCACCGAGAACGCCCTGGCCCTAGTCACAGCAACTTTGATGGTCCTGGGGCGTGGGATGTCCAGGAGGTTTTGGCTCCCTGACCGTAGTGCCCTTGGAACATGCAGGGAAAGGTGGTCCCTTAGGTAGGCCAGACCCTGGCCATATAGGGCTTTAAAGGTAAGAACCAGCACTCTGAAGTGAATCCGGTACGCCATTGGCAGCCAGTGCAGCGCTTTCAGCACAGGCCGGATGTGATCCCGTCTAGGGAGACCCATCAGCAGCCCGGCTGCAGCATTCTGCTCTAGTTGCAGCTTCCAAATTTGCGACAGAGGCAGCCTCATGTAGAGAGCATTACAGTACGCTAGCCTTGAGGTGACCGTCGCATGGATCACTGTGGCCAGGTCATCACGGTCGAGGAAAGCGACCAGCTGCCGCGCCAGCCGAAGATGGTAAAAAGCCGACTTGGCAGTGGCTGCTACCTGGGCCTCCATCGTTAAGGAGGAGTCCAGGAGCACACCCAAACTTCTAACCTCCGACGCCGGCACCAAAGGCACCCCATCGAAGGTCGGGAGAGGGAGCCCCAACCCCGAACCGATCCGACTCAGACCCAGGACCTCCGTCTTTGCCGGGTTTAGTTTCAGCAGATTCAGTCTGAGCCAACCAGCCACGGCCTGTAACACCCGGTGAAGGTCATCTGGAGTGGAGTCCGACCAGCTGCCCAGCATCACATGTAGCTGGGTGTCATCTGCATATTGATGACACCCAAGCCCACAACTCTGGGCAATCTGGGCAAGGGGGTGCATGTATAGCAGCTTCCTTGTGGGCCTATCAAATGGATTCTCTGACACCTCCACCATATCCGCCAGCCCAGGAAGGCCCAGATTGCATTGAGCATCCATTGGGGCCAGGACCTTCACTGGGAGATGTGGCATTTCCCTTTCAGCCACAGCAGGGTAGCCCAGTAAATGTAGGGGAGGAGGGGTTGCCCCCAAGACAGTTCATGTGAAAGGAGCTGTGGCCCCAAAAAGCTTGTGCTGGAATAAATTTTCTTATTCAGTAAAGTGCCATGGATTTCTCATTTATTCTTCCACCTAGATTAGCAAACACTAAATTATCAGCTGTGGAAAAGATGTGCAGCTCAGCACATGTACCCAGAGATCTAGCAGCATATTCTGGAGATGAGGTCCCCCTTTCCCTCAATTTTGAAGATTTTCTTTTTGTTTTTCTGGTGTTCCTGAGTGCCATCATTAAGGCCATGAGGGAAGGGGTACAGTCGGGCATCCCTTGATCATGCCAGGCTCCAGCACAACTGAGAATTCTCTCCACAAGGAACATTTTTATCAATATTTGTATTAGATTCTGATACCTGTGAGCACTTTCAATTTACCACTGAAAAACAGGGTTAAAATCAAAAAGCATCCACCAATTATCTATCAAGGACTGAATTTATTTATTTATTCAAACTTATAGCCCTCCTTCCCCGCAAGCTCCTAGTGCATCCAAGGAAATTCCCATGAGTACAGACCAACTGCTAACTATTTTATTTATGTTATGTATAGTCCAGTTTTCTCACTGAGACTCAAGGAGGATTAATATACATTAATGTAGTCAACAGGATAGGACGTCCCAGTAAGCAATGTAATAGGATTAGGATTCCAGAAATCTAACTGTGTTAGCAAAGGGGGTCAATCTAGAGAGCTACACCAATAACTATACAAACATGTCAAGTTTTCTTACTCTTACTGCCTACCCTTCATGCAGACTTCCAATCTCTGACAGCTGCCAAACAGCACCAGCCATCTCATTAAATCTCAGCATAATAAATAAGAAAAACTATGTATTCTGTAGACTGAATAAAGGTTTTGCACATAGCAGCTTTTAATCATAATGTGTTTTCTCAGGCACTAATAGTACAACTTATCATGTGGGGGTCTGTTAATTTTTTTGACATTAAAAAAGGGTCGTTGTATATTCAAAAGGGTTGGGCATCACTGATTTAAATCACTATGTTGTCAATAATTCAGAATGTCTTTTTAAAGCTAAACAGATTCAGGTGCCAGAATATCCCTGAGCTAGGTTTATGAACAAAAGCAATGTTTTTTGTTGTCCACTTCTCTGTTCACATTCATTTTTGATCCTTTACTTTCTGACCTATAATGCATGGTATCCTGTGTCCCTTTTCTTACTGTCATGTATGTTAGTTGTTAGGCATGCGAGTGAGCCTGAAATGAAGGTGATAATTGTTATGATGGTTGCTGATTTCACAAAAGCACTGTTCATCCCTATAGCAGAGGAAAACAGAGTGAATAATGTCACTCGTGGGGGGGAGGTCTGTTTCAGAGGTTTCCCAAACACAGTTCCTCTTCCACTCATATGATTTATTTTAATTATGAAAGCCTTTATTTGCAATATTTGGAACCTCTTCCAGAAATAAAAATCTTTGAAAACAATAGGTGAGAAGTTGTTCAGAATTTTCACTGAGGAACACAATATTGGGGAGGGGGGGGTTGCATTGAATTCCCTGAGTGCTTTAGTTCATGGACACTATACATGGACACAGACCCAGAATGACAGAATGAGCAACATACCAAATGTTGCAATTCTACTGACAGCAAATGAATTCAGTACTGTGATTACAAAAATCATGATTTCCCGAAAGGCCTGTATTTACGTGTGCACACGGTATAATTTCAGTTGCTCTTTCTCAATATGTTGTACTTCTGGAGTTTAAACATAAAACTTCTGCGGTGTACGGAGCAGCTTTGGAAGTCTATTAATATGGCCCAAACTAACCTGAGCACTACTGGGAAAAATACAGTTGACTCTATCATGCAGTGCCTGAATATTACGCTCATTCTTTACTCTTATGGCTTAGGCATTTGTGATCTCATTCACATCTGACTTCATTCCACGCCTCGTGTACCTGTATATGTACAGTGAAAATGGCACCATGCATGGCTTCGTGAACCATACGCTATCCTATTTTAATGTCAGCGATTTTCAAGAAGGAACAGCTCCAAATGACAATATGGAGCTTGGCTACCCAGTCCAAATATGCAGGTACATAATGTTATTTCTCTTCTTAATGCTGTTCATTAGGATTTCATTCATACATTTCACATTGTGTCTGTGTTTGTATGAAATTCTATGTGACCATACCTCAGTTGATATTTCACGGGGCCTCACCACCCGGAATTTTCTTTCTGCACCTTGCTCACTTTCTACTGCTAACAGTAGCTTCTTCTCTGGCCTCATGCTGTTGTGCAGTCACTGGGAAATAAGAAGTTGTAGCATTTCTGCTTCTGTGGCCAGCAGTGGCCCTTTTTGTATTGAACATGGAAAATCTCTAGTCAGATTACCATTTTCCATGTCCAGGATATATGGTGAATTTCCCACATGATGCATCATTGATTTTTGCTGTTTCTCTGCTATAGATTTGGTTTATGTGCAGGCTTATTACTACATAACATTTCTAACAAAAAGTAGTTCAGGCACTAATGGTCCTAATACATTACAAAATGCACATGTAGTACTCCAGATACGTTAATGGATTTGTGTTGAAAAATAAGAGTGGACAAGAACTATTCATGGCTCAGCATTTCAACAGATATGACTGCTTCTTCCCTTCAGCTTCTAATAATTTGTACCTGGTATTCTATGAGCATACTTAGGAATTATTACTAACAAGGAATAAGGTTCATTGTGGAAATAAATACAATGGACTCTAGAAAGAGGCTCTAGGTGGGTACCCAATTTGCCGTGGTGACCTCAATAGGGTATAATGACACAGAGCTTACCATTTTCTCCAGGGGAACTGATCTCTGCCATCTGAAGAGCAGTTTTAATTCTGAGTGATAGCCAGTCCTCACCTGGAGATTGGCAGCAATGGTCCCTCAGGAGGAAACGGCTGGTTTGGAGGGTGGAGTCTATGGCGTTGTACCTGTCTGAGGACCCACCCTCCTCAAACCTCACCCTCTCCAGGCTCCACCCTTCAAATCTCCAGGAATTTCCCAACCCGGAGGTGGCAACTAACATCTAATATATTCATACATATTCAATATGGTCCACATAGGACTCCTTAAAGAGCTTAAATACATTAGAATATAGCCAAACTCTCTTCCTGTACAGCCAAAGTCTTCTCTGAAGTGGCCAGTGGCTAATATATTCAGACATATTCAATATGGTCCACACAGGACTCCTTAAATACAGTTCAATATATTAGAGTTCAGCAAGGCCCTCTTCCTGTACAGCCAAGGTCTTCTCTACAGTGGTCAGTGGCAACGAATTCCCAGGTTCTCATCGTCTCAGTATTTATTTTCTTCAGGCCACCTTCCAGAAGAACTATAAAAGAAGACTTCAAGCAAATAACCCATTGCAAAGAAATTTCTTTTTTTCCTTTCTTTTTTTTTTATCATCCAGATAAACTCAAATAAATTCAACTCACCCTGCCAATTTCACAAAATTGAGTACTTCTAGCTGACTTGAAATGCAGGCTTCTAAGCAATGAAGTCAGTATGCACTTACATAGAGGCACTGTATTATAATTACCTGGTTTGCCTCTTTCATACTGCATGGTGGAGAAGAGTTTAGAATTAAATAGTCCTGGTCAAAGTAGTCTGGTAAGGCCCTAACTAAGGTGGAAGGTTTATTTATTTATTTATTTATTTATTTATTGTTTATATTTATATCCTGCCTTTCCAGATATCTGGCTCAAGGCGGCTAACAACATTAAAATGGCATAAACAACCAAGTTAAAACAATTAATAAATACCATACCAGTTAAAACAACACCAGTTGCAATTAACCCAACAGAAATGGCGGTAATCCAAATCCCATCCAACGATAGGGGTAGCATCCAGCGGAATCTCAGGCCCGAGGGTGTTCTAAAATTTCAGACCAGACGATGTTCCAGGGCAGACTCATCAGTGGCAGCCTCTAATCGAAAGCCTGGTGGAAGAGCTCCATTTTACAGGCCCTACAGAACTGTAAAAGGTCCCGCAGGGCCCTGATGTTCTCGGGGAGCTCATTCCACCAG